CATGGGACAATTCGGTAGGGGGGTGGGGGGTGAAGGGGATAGGATACTACTGCTGAGGAGCTTGGGACATTGCGGTAGGGGGGATGGGGGTGAGGGGGATAGGATACTACTGCTGAGGAGCATGGGAAATTTAAGCAAGTACTGCATGTAATGTCGAAAGCAAATCGTCTAGTCCCGTTATACAAAAATGTCAGAATTAAACAGGTTATGGTGTCAAATTATTACGCATTACATTTAGTTCAAAGCAAATTATGAGGAGAAAAGTACTGAAACTTTAAAGAATTCAGTCTGAATGAAAGGGTCAATTAAGTCCCAACTTGCGTAAGTGACGTGTCTGAATATGGCAACCTGAATAGCAGCGTTGGGAACTAACCGACCTTCTGCTGCAACTCGCTGAGAAACGATACTAAATTATTTGGCCAGCAATCAGCACGAAAATTATATTTCCCATGTGCAGCTGTGCACTATAACCCGAAAATAATATGTCTCTACCGCCTTTAAAAAATGTAAAAAAAAGTCGAGTTTTGTTTTTCTTCCGTGTGAAGTAATAGAGATGAAAAGACGAAACTATTAAGCTGTTTTCTTTTTTTTCCTTTGGCTTTGATCGCCACTATATGAGTTTTTACCAGCGTCTTTTCTCCTCGAGAAAGATCTTATTCTTTTTTCTTATTTCCTTACCTCTCCCTATACATAAAATACTTATGGAGGATCTCTAAACGTAAACTGAAAATGACAAGGCCAGACCTCAAAGCCGGGTGGTACGTTCCCTACCGTAGTGCGTGGCTTCTTTTACGTCCCCTTCTGACCTAACCTCGTTTCCAGGGCCTTTTCCCGCCCCACCCCCAACTCCCCCAACTAAGGGAAAAGGCCCTGGGAAAGAGGTTGCTTCTGACCTGTACAGAAAAGATGCAGGAAACGATTTCTCAGGTTGATCGCCCTTATCCAAAATTAAGAGCACTATTCCATTCCTTGTCACTTTCTCCCTCTTTATAATGGTCAAAGGAGACAAGATCATCCCGTGTTCTCGTCAGCAGGTTCGAGTTTAAAAAGAGGTCGCGGCTAAAAGGGATGACTCAAAAGGACCTCATCAAATATTCTATAGAAAACATATTTTTATGTTTTCTTTGATTTACATTTTTTTGGATTTTCACTACAAATATGTTTTCTAGAATATTTAATGAGGTCCTTTTGAGTCATCCCTTTTAGCCGCGACCTTCAAAAGACTGAGTGTGAACTCTTTTGGACGCGTGACAGAAGGAGATGTTTGGACTTGGCCTTGTCTATCCCATGAACCCGCGCGGTAACACAAACAGTCATGGCGGCTCCGCGGTTGGTGTAGTAGGTTAATTCAACGCTACTTTCAGGTTAAATTTTCCACTTCTGCAGCTCCAACAAACATCTGTTGCTGCGAAAATGAGCGACTGGGAAGAAGACGCAGATGATTCCAGGAGCACTTCTCAGAATGTGTATATTCCACCCAACAGGAGAGGATGGTACAATTCCTTTGACAAGAATGTACAGGAAAATCTTTCTGATGGTAGGCGACCGGGCTTTGGACGAGGAAGAGCGAACCGATTTGGAAATGCAAGAGAGGAGTACTCAAGCGCAGGAAAGAGGAATGGTTATTCCGAGGGTGGGAGGTCTGGAGGCTTCAGTCGAGGAGAAAGCGGATTTGGTCGCAAACAAATCGCACGTGGCGGTCGCTCGTGGAGAGGCAGCAGTGAAGATGACAGCTGGAAAAACAGGGATCATTCACGAGGATATGAACGTGAAAGAAATAGTACTGAAATTATGGTGCCCTCAGATGATGTGCGCTATATTATTGGTAGGAAATTAAACGTAGATCAATCTTCAATCTTGTATATTCGCTCGATTGTATCTCTTAGGCCATACCATTGACTTAGTGCGCACTCCGTGATGTCTGCGAGGACTTCGAATTTTGTCAAAGAATCCGAAAAAATGAGACCCCGTGAACATTTCTTTGAAAATTTGGATATGTCAACAAAGTTGAAATGGTAAATTGGCCACCGTAACGATTACAAAAGCTGACGTTTCGAGCGTTACCATTTCAACTTTGTTACTTTG